TTCCCCGCCCAGGGGGTTTTTATAACCCGGAGAACCACCTTTCCTTTTTTTAACCCCTTTTTTTGGCCCCCCTTCCCTTTTGGAGTGGCAAGGAAATTCCCTGGGGTTCCCCTTGTTAAAAACATTTCCCCCGGGGGATAAAGGGGGATTTTGTTGTTAAATTTCCCCAAAACCCCCCCCCCCTCCGGGGGGTAGGCCCCCCCCCCCCCCCCCTCCCCCGACAAGGTGCGGAGAGCGTGTTGGAATTTGCGGCCGGTCAGGATCAGGAAAGTCGAGCCTAGCGCTGGCGCTTGTAAGGGTTGTGGAGTGCTGTCGAGGTGGTGTGTTCTTGGACGGGCAGGACATCAGGGAGTTGCCCCTAGCCTTGCTGCGTTCGGGCGTGACGGTGATCTCCCAAGATGCGCACCTCTTCTCGGGAAACGTTCGCGAAGCCATCGATCCTGTTGGACAGGTGGGCCTTAGGATATCGAGCTGGAGGCGTACACCTTATCTGGAATTGTGATACTTCATGTTTCTCAGCACCTAAAAACGAGATACGCGTGGCTATTTGAAGAGTGGGCCGTCCGTGCTACGTAAGAAGATAGGTTAAGGTTTGTCGCTGCGTACCGGAGGTTTCGATGTTTTTGCCTTGATCCGATACAGAATCAAGGATCCCTTGAGTGAGAATCTATCGTGACCCTAGCCTCGCGTCGGAGAACGTTGAGATACCTCGTCGCCAGGGTAACGTCAAAACCAGAACTATCTGATTGTCGAAGGAAGCATTCTTGACTAACAGGAGAAGCATCATCGCAGAAGGCTTCTTGATGTTCGCGGCATCCTCCGATTCATAGTATATAATTTTGTTTTTTCGAGGGGGGTGCGCGTGAGGATGGCTTACAAACGCCACATTTCTCTTTCCCCGCGACCCGTCCTTCCTCTTGCCGTCGCTATACAAGTACGCCGTTTTGCGAAGAAACCCTTGGTGTTCTCTATCGGATTCACCATCGTTTCGCCTTTTTTTTACTTTTCCCACGTGTTCCCTCCCAATCCGCGCCCGGGACATGGAACACGACCACAAGTGCTCGGATGCACGAATCTGGGAGATCATCGAGATGGTCGGCCTGAGAGACGCCGTCGTGGATCTACCGCTGGGGCTGGCCACAAGTGTGAGCGAGCGGGGCGCGAACTGGAGCGCGGGGCAGAGGCAACTGCTCTGCATCGCGAGGGCGATGGTGAACCAGCCCGGCGTGTTGGTCTTCGACGAAGCCACGGCTAACGTGTGAGTGCCTGATTTGCATCTTTAAAGAATTGCGTTCTGGTATTTTTTGTTTTTCGAGTGCTTTGTTCCCCATTTTTTCGTCGCATCGGAAACCGATTGTGGGCATGTGCGGTGCGCACGAAGGTTGATACTCTCTCCACGAATCGACGAGCGTGGTGAAAGGAACTTGCTGACCCAACTCAATGATTTCAGTGGGACAACTTGGCTAAAGTCGCCTCATAAAGGTGCATTTTCCTCACCCCCGCTTCGTAGTTTAGGTTGCTACTGGTTAATTCACAGAGTGGTACTAACGTGTCGGCCCAAAGCTGGAGTTATTGTTCCCTATCTTGGCTACCAACAGCTGTTCACGGGATTCTATACGCTTGAAATTGTGAGAAGTTGAATCGGGCATCACAAACGCTCTTTCGCTTGTGAGTGCTTGAGCTCTCGATTTGCAACCGGCCGAATGCCTATTTGGTGTGAGCGTTCAAGCAAAACGAGAGTCGGGCATTGTGGGACAGTCAGTATCAATAGCTCGGTTGTTGGGTTTGTTGGTATGTTCGGTTTCAACACGTTTTTTGTGGTCGTTCGTGTTAGTGTTGTTGGCGTTCGATTTTGCGTTTTTTTGGCTTAGTGTGACACGTGTTTGCGGGCGATGCAGCGAGCAGCTAATCACGAGGGACACACCCCGTGTAGAGATGATTGTTACCCCGCCCCCCTCTGATCCCTACGCTGCCACCCACAACGCACCCTCCTCCCCGCCCCGCTGTCATCATGATCCAGAGATGCGCACACGGACAGCCTGATCCGCCAACTAATCCAGTCTCGCCTCAACCAAGCGGCAGTAGTCGTCATCGCCCATCGGCTCGAGGACGTCATCTCCTGCCACAGGGTGGCCGTGATGAGCGCCGGAGCCATCGCCGAGGAGGGCGAGCCGTCCGTGCTGCTGGCGGAGGTCGACAGCATGCTGTCCCTACTCGCCCGAGAGCTGGGCCCGGAGTTAGAACGAAAGCTTCGTGATCAGCACATGCACTTGATTAGGTAGCAAGTGTACCGTGAGGGGGTGCTATATTCCTCGCGCAAGGTCCACGTGCTCGGTGAAAGGGCCTCTTGTTTTGTTCTAGGACAGTGTGTCCATGCCGCAGGGGACCACGGTGCTTGTATTTCGTATTGGTCGTGCGCACGTGCGCTACGACATCCTATTTGGCCAGTGGCCACGCTACGTTTTAGGCTCGGTTCACGTACAAGTCGTTCTTGTGACCGATGTAGAATCGACACGTTTTTTTTTTAGCGGAGAGGAGAGATGTTTTGGCACGCTTCCAAAACAGTGTAGACCACTCAAAATACTCGTGCAAAACCTTCTCGCGATATCGTGCACAAGCGCCATAGAGGAGTGGTTTGTGTGATCGTGAGCTCTTCAAGGCGACGGGCAGTCTACGGTAGTAGGGTACGTAGCGAGTGCAGGCGTTGTGACGAGCATTGCCTACCCTTTTCAGCATCCGATCCGAGTTGACTCTGATTGTACCCAAAGAACTTTGACGCCCCCTGTTACGGGCGGGAGGTGCAGACACTATATTGTACTGAAAACGTCACAAGCAGATGTTTCAGTACTCAGCCAGTTCTACACTGAGTGGTCTATACGGTCGCCCCGGTGGTCTAGTTGGTGTCCGCGAAACCTTCTAGAGGTCAGGTCAGGGGTTCGAATCCCGGTAGTAAGCGAGCTTTTCTTGCAACGTGAGTTTTTCTATCGCTTCCGCTCCTGGTCTAGTGGATAGCGCTAGTTCGTGTGTACACAGAGGGAAGAGAGTGCTGAACTCTTCTCGCATTAAAAATCGAAGGTAAAGTACCGCAGGAGGGGAGGGTATAGAGAGGGGCTCTTCTGTGCGACCACGGAGGGGCTCTTCTGTGTGACCACGGGATGGAGTAAACGGCACTAGTGCTGTGAGCGCTGATTTGAAGTGAAGAAAAAAAAAAATAAAAAAAACTGTACGCCGCATGTGTTTCTGGCTCTTGTGGAAGTTTGACAGCATTAATTCCATGTCACAGACGCACTTGAGACTTAACCAGAGGATCATGGACCGGGGGGTGTCATGTGTTCATCCGTCGGACGTGGTTCCCCGGCGCCGTGCTATTCGGCGGCATCCTTCTAACGACGGGATTACTCCTCTAGTCCGTGACCTTGGCGACGGCGTACCGCGAGTGAGAACCATGTGGGTTCGACCCAATGTCGTGTCCTACTTTCGGATGAAGGTTGCAAACAATGTTGTTGGTACCGGACAAACAGTTCACGGGGAAGAATCGCCGGATAATTGACCTAAACCCGATCAACATAGAAACAGCATTGTCTATATACGGATACATACGTATGTACATCCATCAGTCAAACCACGAAACATATCCTATTCTCCAGCCTCCCCTCCCTGATAAAGGAGGGGCGGTGTTTCACACCTGCAGTATAGCGTTGAGCCCTGTCTACTGCATTTGCACTTCATGGGTATCTGCTCGGAGGGGCTCATGTCTCGTGGGCACCTGCATCGTTATTGCTATTGCAATACGCGGTGGGATACCTCTTGTTGGAAGTGTGTTCGTCCGTCAGGTGTTTCTCATTGGGCAGCGGTGAATTAACCCTTTGCTGTTCCGGCACCAACCGGGTCTCCTGTTATCAACAGAATCCTCCTGAGGGTACTTAGAACGCGATAAGCGGGGAAAGCAGATGGTGTGCACCCATATGGCCGTTGAGCTTCCTACCTTCACCGAGAAACCGCCCTGGCCGGAAATCTAGGGGCCTTCCATGAGCTTTCGCTTGCAATCGTGGAACCGACAGCGCAGCCCTCCGAGGTACTCCCCAGATTGCTTGATAGGCCCGAGATCTCCCCGCTTTCCGTTTCCTTGCACGGTACAAACCAGCTCTCGAATGACAACCAGCTGGTTTCGCTCCCCTCGGGGCTGTTTGACGGTCTCGGCGCTCTGACATATCTGTGAGTTGTGTGACCTCTGTATTCCTCCCGGTGTGACCCATTCTGAGGTTCAGAACCAACCTGTTTGTTCGATGAGAGACAGGTACGGAGTGGACATGGAGAACGCTTGCAGTAGCCCAGTGGTATGACCGCCAAAGTCCCGTTCTTCTTGCACATGTTCACCCCCCTCACAACGGGAGCTCCCATGGCGTGATAATCGTTCCCTGATGTGGAACATATGTGTTGTGATCGCAACCGGTTTCACGTGGTGTTCCGGAGTCTGGCCAGCTTTGTTTCTCTTAGTGCGAACCATATGTGGACGTACACTACTATACTGTCTCTAACGCGCACCGTCATCCCTTCCTGTTTTTCGTCTGGTCTGTGGGGTGCATCAGTGAAGCGTATGACAACCAGCTCACTTCGCTCCCCGCGGGGCTTTTCGACGGTCTGGATGCGCTGGAACGCATGTGAGTTGTGTGACGCCTCGAAGTATTGTCGGTGCAAGTCGACGGCGATAGAATGATTCGTCTCGTCGTGTCGGCCACTGGACATGATATTTTTATCAATATCAAGGGAAGGGCGGTGTCATTCTCACTTTTTGTAGCTCTCCAATGGCATATACTCCTTCGATCTGGGCAATACGGTTAAACTCGTTGGCACCAGCACTTTTTTCTAGAGAATGTAGCTTTCACGTTGGAGCGGTAAACGTTCAGAGACGGCGTACACACTCAAACAGATCGAGGCATCTCTTTGACCAGCCTACAACCAACCCGTTCTTGACCGTCGCCACTGTCCCGCGATTCGCTTGCGCAATCATCGCATTCACTGCTCTTCCGTTCCATGCAGAGTTTTGGGAGGTAACGACGATTTGCAGTGCCTACCGTCATTGGCCGGGGGAGCAACCGGCGGTGGTGCGGCGTCGTTTACAGGGTCTTCGTGCAACAAGCAACCGGAAAATATAATCCTGTGGTGTTCGTGACCTCATATAAGCCATCGCTGTGTAGCGCATTCCGAGGGGTTAAATGTAGCGCTGGCTGAACGTCCGCGGCGCGCCTAGAAGGTCGCCCTGTCAATGGAATATTCTCCACTAGGATATCATCGATTTCCATGAGCGCAGTTCATATCGGCGTATACATAGTCATGGATGTGTTTCGAAGCTTCGTCTTGCGGACTCACCGTCGTCAGGTGGTTGAACGATCGTCACAATCCCTCAGCTCAAAACGAACATTTCTCTCTGCTGCGTTCGCTCCGTCTCAGGTCACCTCTTCTCAAGGCCCCGTTCCTCCCAGATGGCTTTGAGGATGGCGGCATTTGCTGTGAGTAGCGTCTGTACTATTCACGCTGGACTCACGGCAAGCTTCCGGTCGCACGTGCATTGATGGTCCGTAGCAATAAACGACATCGCTGACTACGCAACAGGCCAAAACGCACTATACAACGAATGGTTCCAACCTTGTTTAGTTTGAATGATGTGTATTTTGTATTCCGCAGACGAATATAGAAATTTACGTGACGCATGGAGTAGCCGCTGCCGAGGGCAGTCACTACATCAAATCGGAGAAGGTGGCTTGGGGTGTTTATTCACGGAGTAGGGAAAACCTCTAGAATAGGCCCGAATCATAGCAAATGCGGCTGCAGCTCGTCACGCAGAACGTAAGAAGCGAACAAACCACCACCTCTCACACCGTTCGAAACAATCGCACTCCAGAGTCTCAGCGAGCAACGCCGTGTGGAAAGCTTGCGCTTCACGCATCCTATTCCGGAGGAAAAAGGAAAACTCAGCAAGTTGATTCCGCCGGTTCATCTATCCGTCTACAAATGTTCATCGGACTGTAAGCACGAAGTGGCCACCACCGTCGTTTTTCAATGAAGATGGCGACTGTGATGTTTGCATTTTTAGCAGCAATAACAGCTCGCGAAAAGTCGCGGAGCATTCCCGGACCCCTTGATGCTTATATCGTGGGCGTGAACACGTCCGTCCTCCTGATTCTTCTTGATAAAGCATCTATGCGACTGTTATTTTCTTTCGCAGCTTGTCCTTCTCTAGGGGACGACGGGGCATGCGAGTCTGACCAATCGTGCGCTCCTGGCACGGACAGCTACATCTGCAGCAGTCTAGAACATGCAGACTGCCACGGCGGTTGTGGCGGGGCGTGTTGCGGGAAGATTCTACGCCCTGATCTCCAAGCAGGCAGTAGGAACAGATGAAGAATTTTGTCCGGAACTGCAAGATGAAGATAAAATATGCAACGTTCGTCCACACCCAGACCTTGGTTGCGGTTTCGGCAGCGAAACTTGTGGCGCGATCGAGCCGAGTACATACGACGCACTCGTTTCATGACATCGCAGCAACCAAAGTGTTGAGCTCGTACTTGACAACCTCGAGTTTGAATCCAGACAAGCTCCTCCAGTAACCTGCCACGCCCGACACCGCGCGTGTCGTATTGTTTCCGGTGGCAGCGCCAGTACGGAACGCGTGCTTGGACCCAGAGAATTCACTCTACGGATGCGAGGCTGACAAAACCAAAATGTGAGGTCACGGCACGACATGTGCTCGAAGTAGCAAGCAGCCTGTGCAGAGTCATAAGGAGGGTTATCCACAGAAATTGAATGGGTAGGCCGAGTACTGCACAAAACATCTGAACCGTTACGTGGAAATGCTTGAAGGTCGACGGCGACCAACACCGAGAGATTTCCACCCACACACGTTCCCAAGGCAGGACCATTCAGGTCATTCAGCACTTTCTGGCAGCAAAGTTGTTTGAAGTGGCTGCCGGCCAACTTCCCAATTGCAAAGCGTTTGATGCACTTATTGGGCATTACCGCATGTGACTGGTGCGATACTGGCCTGAATCTCCACACGTCCACAGCTATCTCGATAACTGCGGAATCGGGGACGAAGATATAGAGGACCTGGCGAAGTGCTCCGACAGCGCAGGACACGCATCAGTTACAGTCATGTAAGGCGTACAAGGCCATGACGACACAGATAGTTTGGTGCCAAAGTCACGTATCCCAATGTCAGGGTAGGATATCCTCAACTACTCGGAACCATTACAGGTGTCGGGACTCCGTACTTCCCGGAGGC